ATCTCCAGGTAGTGTCTTATCTACAATCCAATCCGTCTTCTAAAAATTTGACTTACCCGGAAAACCAAAATAAAAAACTCTAAACAACAAACGAGAGGGTCTGAGACGTCGAATTCTCATTTAGGAGAGTAGTAGGGGAGGGGGTAGTTTCAACTCCATGCCTTGGACGGTCGGTCTAGACCGATTCCTTGTCAGAGCTCCTCGTCTTGGTATTTTAAATTGCAAATGAGCCAAGCGTTCGACAAGCTTCTCATGACTTAGCCAGATTACAACTCATTTATGTTCAATGAATTAAGTAATTGAACATGTTTGAATATTTGATTATTAAATGAACAAACTTGAACTCCTTATTGCTCCTTTTATTTATGATCGTGAACGATATCGTTAAAGCTTGTTAATATACTTGATTAAAACTCAGCATTAACTTAAAATCCAATATATATTAGAACTAAAAAATATAATTTAATTTAAATACAATACAATTAAAATTAATTTTCTTTGTGTATTATTAACTTAAAAACAATTAAAGCACTGTCGTTGTTGGTCCCAAGCCCGGATGCGAAAAGTAGAGGGTTGCGTTAGGTAGTCGACAGTCAACTTAAAACCTGTTAGAAAAAAAAATCATGATATGAATCCTTTCGGTTAGTCCATGAAACTAATGAAACTAATATTAGGATAGGTTCTTGGAATATCGGTACGCTTAATGGTAAATTATTAAAATTAGTTGATATTATGATTCATAAGAAAATTAATATCTTATGTATTTAAGAAACTAAGTGGGTTGGAGAAAAGACTAAGAAAATTGATAATTTAGTTTTTAAACTTTGGTATTCTGGTAAGAGTCGCACTAGAAATGGTGCAGGTATAATTATAGATAAGAGTTTGAAAGATAATGTCGTAAAAATTAAAAGAGTTGGCGATAGAATTATAGCTCTTAAGATTATCATTGATACTAAGATTTTTAATATTATAAGTGTTTATGCTCCTCAAGTAGATTTAGATACAGGGTCTAAAGATAAATTTTGGAATGACTTAGAAGACTTAGTACAAATGATACCTCTTAAAGAAAGAATTTTTATTGAAGGAGATTTAAATGGACATGTCGGTAGAGTGGTAGAAGACTTCATAAATACTCATGGTGGCTACGATTTTGGAGTAACTAATGAAGAGGGTATAGCTATTTTAGATTTTGCTTTAGCGTATGATTTTTGTTATTACTAATACTTTATTCAAGAAAAGAGATTAACATCTTATTATTTATAAGAGTGGATCTAATAAAACACAAATTGATTATTTTCTTATGAGAAGAAGAGATCGTTGCGATTGTAAAGATTGTAAGGTCATTTCAAGTGAAAATTTAAGTACTCAACATCGTTTATTAATTTTAGATTTTAAGATTAAGAGTTGTAAAATAAAGAATACTAGGACTCATCATCGTAGAATTAGATGGAGAAACTCAAAAGACACGAATAAAATTATTTTTATGAGTCAAATTCAAGATTTCAAAATTTGGGATATTCATGAAAAAACAAAATGTTATGTGGGATAAAATAACAAACACTATTGAACAAGTATCAAAAGATGTGCTTGGAGAATCAAAAGAAAAAGTTTTTATGAATAAAAATAGTTGGTGGTAGAATAATAATGTGCAAGAAAAGATAAAATATAAGAAATTATGTTATAAAAATTAGTTTAAATGTAAAAGCTTAGAGAACTGGGAAAAATTTCAAACAGCTCGTAGGGAGTCTAAAAAAACAATCTGTGACGCTAAAAATTCTACTTTTAATAATCTTTATAATAGATTAAATACTAAGGGGGGTGAAAAAAATATGTATAAACTAGCCAAACAAAGAGAAAAGAAAAGTAAAGATTTATCTCAAGTAAAGTGTATTAAATATAAGTGTATTAAATATGAAAGTGTATTAAATATGAAAATCAAAAAGTACTTTTCTTAGAAAAAGATATTCAACATAGGTGGGTGAGTTACTTTAATAAAATTTTTAATAAAGTTTCTGAAAATACAATTGACCTTAGTGATCTTAATATCATGAATAATAATAAAGCACTTCATATAAAACACTTCATTTTTACCGTCGCATTAGTAAAAAAAAAGTTGAGGAGGCTTTAAAGAAAACCAAGGGTGGAAAGTCGTAGGACCTGATGATATCTCAATTGAAGTGTGGAAATATTTGGGAGATTTGGGAGTTTATTAGCTTATTAAACTCTTTAATATTATTTTAAAACTTAAAAAGACGCCTGAGGATTGAAGGAAGAGTATTTTGGTCCCCATTTTTAAGAATAAAGGGGATGTGCAAGAATGTGCAAATTATAGATGAATTAAGTTGATGTGTCATACTTTAAAGTCATGAGAGAGGGTAATTGAATATAGGTTAAGACGCATCACAAAGATGTCTCATCATCAATTTGGATATATGTCGGGCATGTCTACTGTAGAAGCTATACATGTATTGAGAGGTTTGATGGAGAAGTTCAGAGATAATAAGGAGAATCTACATTTGATTTTTATTGATTTAGAAAAAGCTTACGATAAGGTTCCAAGAGATATCCTTTGGAGAGTTCTCGAGAAGAAATGTGTTGATATGACTTATATTCAAGTCATTAAAGATATGTATACTAGAGCTGTTACTTGTGTTCAAACTGAAGGAGGATTGACAAAATATTTTCCTATTTCTGTTGGATTACATCAGGGATCGGCTTTAAGCCTATATCTTTTTGCTTTAGTTAGGGATGGTCTTACTGGACATCTACAGGAGGATGTACCTTGGTGTATGCTTTTTGCTGATGATATCCTTCTCGTGGATAAAACGAGAGAAAAAACAGAGTAAAAACTTGAATTATGGAGGTCTACATTGGAGTCTAAAGGCCTCGTTTAAGTAGAACTAAAACTGAATACATGGAATGTAATTTTAGTAGTAATAGCTCTACTGATAGAAGTGTGACTTTGGGTGATCAAATTATTAAAAGGTGTGAACGATTTAGATATCTTGGGTCCGTTGTTCAAAGCGATGGTGATATAGATGGGGATGTTAATAGTAGAATTCAAGTTGGTTGGTTGAAGTGGAGGAATGCTTCGGGCCTTTTGAGTGATAGAAAAGTACTGCTTAAATTGAAAGAAAAATTTTATAAGACGGTTGTGAGACCTGCAATGCTCTATGACGCTGAATGTTGGTCTTTAAAAGAGAAGCATCATAATAAGTTAAGTGTTGCCGAGATGAGAATGATTAGGTGGATGAGTGGCTTTACAGACAAAATGCGAAATGAATATATTCGTGATAGGGTTGGTGTAGCTCCTGTGACGGACAAAATTAGAGAAAATCGTCTTAGATGGTTTGGTCACATTAAACGTCGACCATCTGATGATCTGATTAGGAGAGTAGATGTTTTAGATTTGAGTTGTGTTAAAAAAGGCAGAGGTAGACCTACGAAGACTTGGGCTTATTGTATTAAAAATGTTCTTAATTTACTAGAACTAAATGAAAATATGACACTAAATATGACGCAATGGAGAAGAAGCATTCATGTAGCCGACCCCACGTAATGGGATTAAGGCTTTGTTGTTGTTGTAATATCTCAAAAAAATATAGCATTTTTTTGATACAAACATATGTTGGGAGGAAGAACCTATAGTTACAAAAAATTTTAAAAAAAGAGAAATTTTGGAAGATTTACATACATACCACTCAATTTTTATGTATTTACATTTATAACACTTAAACTTCAATTTCTATTTATAACACTTAAACTTCAATCATTTATAACACTTAAACTTCAATTTCTATACATATGCCACATTACCTTGGCATGAAAAGTTGCATTGCACATTTTAAAAGTTAAAATAGTCAGATGATTGATATGATATCAAAGATTTGATTTGTATAAATATTAAAAGCAAAATTTAGGTGTTAGATATGTAAATGCATAAGAATTGGGTGGTATGCTTGGAAGTGCACATAGAAGTTTACCAATAAAAAATCCAACATGTAGCCTACATGCATTTAATCGTACATCGGGAAGAAATAATTTATCAATGTTGTTTAAATTTAAAAACGAAGCACAACTTTTTGAACATTCTCAGCAGCATGTCGCTGTTATAGTTGGAGATGTTGGTATTTTAGCTTACTTTAGATGGCTTTTAAAGTAAAAAAAAAAAACTATTTTTAAATTTAATTATGTTATTTTTATTTATTAAATTTTAATAAAATATTATTTATTTATAATTTTATATGTTTAATAGTCTTTGGCTCACCCAGAAAAACAGAACGAGAAGCTTGAGGCTCGGCTCAATAAAAGCTAAATAAACTACTCAATTAATCAAGCTCAAGTCACACTCAAATCGAGCTTGAACAATAATAAATTCAAATGAACCAAGCCCTGAACATTATTTTAAAAGCTTGAAATGAGCTTGAACCATGCTTGGACATGTTTTTTATGATAAGCTCGAGCTTGAACAATCTTTTACGCGGCACAACTCAGTTCATTTGCAGCCCTATTGGTTTCCATGTTATGCACACAAACCAGTAATTTTGTTTCTTTACAATGCGTGTATTATTAGGAAAAGAAGTTGGCGTTAGAGATGCTTAAATAACTTAATTTCTTTCCTCTTTTATTTATTGTTCATATATATTATCCAGATTTCCGTGACCCTTATTGACGAATTGAGTTGACTATTAGATCGTATTAGGCTATTAGTCCTCTGCTTAGATTATTATTTTATTTTATCTTTTTTATTGGTGACACCTGTTGTTCTCTAATCATATTGAACGTCATTTTTTCTTACGCAAGATGTAGTTTTCCATATTTTATGGTTAAGGGAAATTTCTATGACGAATAGAGAGCAATTTGATATTTGCAATTCTGTACAAATTATACCCATTGGATTCCTCCAAACATTTTCTGTTTAATATTGAATCGGACTAAATCTTGTCTTTTGGAGAGATGCATGACCTTATACTTTTGTTCCTCATTTATTTATTTTACAGGGAAAAATTTCATGCACAACTCGTGTAAAGCCAGATGATCAAACTATCAGTTTTCAAAATTGTTATCCTGTGGTAAGTTTGTTCTATATTGATAAGAAGAATTTAATACTGGCGGCACTTTTACACCGACTGGAAATTAACTAAATCTATCTGATAAACTTCATATAGTGACACAATGATGATTGAGGCGGAGGATCCAAGTTGATAATGGTAAATCTGATTTTACATTGGTAAGTTTTAATTTGACATACTATTACTAATATTGTACTTTTGTAATATATGGCATTAACAATGACTACTTTTGAACTATCACTGTAAATAAGCTATAGGAATCTGTCTAGTGTGGTTATGCTGCCTGTATTGTAGTCTACTTTTTTTTTTTTTTTTTTAATAGTTACCGTCAATATAAAGCTTATGCGAATATATTGTTGATATTTATCTTGGGAGTGATTAGTCTTGCATTTTCTACTACTTTAAGAACCTCTGCGACCATCATCAAGATTGAAGCTATCTTTTAAATTTAGCTATGGAAGACCATTGAGTTAGCATATGCTGACTCAAATTTGATCATGATGGGTTTTCATTCTATTAAATTTTATTCGAGATGAATGTAATATTTGACTAATCAATTTTTTATATTACATTTATCTAAAAATAAATTTCACTGATTGAAGATGAAATGTCATTTATTTTTTCTATATTTGTAGTTTCCTTTATCTTGGTTGTGCTCCGGATCATACGAATTAGAGTCTCCAGGGTAGAAATTTTGAAAAAAAAAAGAAAAGAAAGAATATACATCTTCTCATGCGATCAAACTTATTTATGCTCTTGTGGATTTTTCATTATTGAATTTATCCTTAAGAAGAATTAGTTTGTTTTAGGCTTCTGTAGGATTACCTTTTTTTTTTTTTACTTGGAAGTGCTTTGCAATTCAGAATCGTTATTCAGTTGTTGGAATTGGAAAACTCCATCTTATAATATCAGTTAATCTAAAATTTGCATTTTATTTTTGAGTGTAAGCACTTTTGTAGTTGAAAATGTCAAAATGACATAATCAGGACATAGTTCAATCGAAATGGTTAAGATAATGTTGGCTAAGCAACAACACCGTCTAATTTATGTATTTAGGAGAGAGAAGTATTACTTAATGTTTTATTGTGACGTGTTGTGAAGCACATTTCACAAATAATTTGGTTTGCCATTTTAATTTGCTAAAGTAGATTCCGAGATCAAATAAGTTATTTCAAGTGTATTTTTATATTATAAAAAAGTATACATAGTATCATAATATTCAGTTTATATTAAAAGAAAAGTAATTTGATGCGTCGTGTGAACCAAAATTTCATAAATGTTTGGTTGTTTATATTAAGATTACCTTGTGGTAAAACATTCATGGCAGTAGAGAGAGTTTATTGTTTTAGCACTGTATGAAGATTAGAAACACAGAAAAAAAAATCAAAAGAAATATTAAAGTATTTACTACGGGAAGTCGGCTAACAAAAAAATCGCATAGCTTGGCTTCTTTGAAATAATCCATTATGTGGGTAATATTATCTTAGTTTGCTCTTTCTTTCAATTTGAGAATACATACAAAGTTTTTATTGATATTTTGATTTTTTATAAATGTGGCTAAAAAGACTATAAGTGAAAGTTGTTAACTAATAAAAGATGAATGATAATTGGGAGAAATTAATGTTGATGATCACCGGGTGACGGTGGTTGAGTAATGATAATCAGACAATGATATTTGGGTTGAGTGATGGGGATGAGGTGGCAAGTAGTCATTAACAATGATCATCAAGCAAAGCTCTGTGTATTGCCAAGCGAAACTCTAGTGTTTTCAAATCTTAATTTTTCTTAAAATTTTTTTTCCTTGCTAGCCAAGATTGTGGGTATTTTCATTATTTTTTGGAGTGATGTTTTGATAATTTTAGCTGAAATCATTAAACACTCTATTGGACGGCCCTGTGTTGATTTTAGTGATTAAGTGCCTTAGTGATTTTGAAATTAAGTGATTTGGAGTTCGTTAAATTTGTCTCGTTGGGATGCTTTTTTTCAATGGCAGTATAATCTAAAGATCTTTTGATCTCTCAAACAATGTGATGAGGTTTTCAACTATGTTTCAAAAGCATGATTAAAACCTATTTGGAATCCAGATTAAAATATTCTTGGCATTATTGAGTTTGTCGCATCAAAATATTTGATTTGATTATAACTTTGTTAAAATCTGAATTCAAACCGTTGTAGTATTTAATTAAATACTTACATAGAGATTTGTGTTTTTTCGGTAGATGGACTTTTTTATGACACATAAAATTGTATTTTGAAACTCACTGGATTGTCAAGCTTTGCAACGAAGCAACTTAATTATCTGTGTCATGATCCTTTTATTTTTTTCAACCTCTAAAATCATATAGTAAATAATATCTCTTTTTTGTTCATTCAATTGGACGTGTAACATGGTAGTAGGTATCAATCTCCATCTACACGTTAAAATGCATTATTATTCCAACTTATTTATCTTAGAACTGCTTTTGTTGATTTTTTTTTTTTAATTTGAACGGTATACAATCGTTTCATTATCTTCAAATTTTTAAAATTCAAAATAAATTTGCAGATAATGAATTTTTTCAATTTCTGTGCATCATAGGAGCTTATGTGGAATAAATTTTCATTTCATATAGATCATACAGCATTCATGGCATAAGAATTTTTTCAAATTCTAAAATTTTTATGATTTTATTTAAGGGTGGGCATTATTCATCCAATAAAAAAAACATTTAATTTTTTCTATCCATCAATGACTTTTGTCTCTTATGCTTCAAGATAAGAGTTATTATGCACCTTAGATTTTGAACGAGTAATGCTATACTATCTAAAAAAAATCTAGCGACTCTTTTTAATAGATCATTTAAAAGTTTTTCATTCATTTTATTCATGAAGACCTCTTTTTTGTTTCATTTGATTAAGGGGGATTTGTGTTTCAGACTGTAACTGTTTAAGAAATTGTTTTCTGTTGTAAGAAAGTCTGCCCCAGCTTTACAACAACTTTTATAAAAAGTTGCAACCGCCCTAAAAGGTTTTGTGAGAGAGTTTTATTTATTTGTTATTAATTTTGTTTGGAGGGCAGAGTTGATATTTCTCTGCATGTGCTTGCTGTTTAAATGTCAGCTTGAAGTTTGCTTTTTTAAGATGCGGGTGTGGCTTGAAGATAATTTAGCTATAACTCTTAAGGATGTGATAATTGAGAAGGACCTCTACCAAATTGTCGATTCGTTGATGTTGATTTAAGCTAATTTTAATTACATCATTGTCCTGATTTTGAGAGCTTTTGTTATTTCTGTTTATTACTTCTATTTCAAATTCTCAGCACTAGGTAATGGAATCAAATTTAACTTTTCCTTGGGCACATTAATCTCTCTTTTTTTCTTTTTTTTTTCAATTGTCATATTTTAAGCTGCATTTTGATACACCGCACCCTAAGCTTTTTTTATTGGCTAACAAGGCGTAGATCCATATTTATATGTGATACGTTCCAAGTATTTAGTTATACTAGGTATTTGCACACACCTAGAGATGGCCGGGGCTCTCGGCCATTATATATATATATATAGAGAGAGAGAGAGAGGAATAAAAAACGACAAAGCAATTTAAAAAAACCTGGAGGGGAAGTTAATTAAGCAATATCATGCTTATATTATTGGGCCATTTACATGCATACCACCCAATTCATATGTATTTACATATCTAACACCTAAACTTTACTTTTTCACATTTATCACCCAAATATTTCATATCATATAAAAAATAACACCACTTTTAATTTTAGAAAGTGAACCAGATCTTTTCATGCATAGAAAATATGGCATGCATGTAAAAATTAAAATTTGTGTGTCAGATAAATAAAGAGGAATTTAGTGGTATGTATGTAAGTCTTCTCATATTATTTTGCCTCTTAAAAATGTGAAAGAAGACAAAGTTTGCAAGCAAGTGGGGAAAACAGCCAAAAGAAAAAGATGCCTTGCTGACAACATAGAGCATTAAACGTGTAAGCCGCTTCCATTCTCTTCTATCCATATACCAAAACTCTTGCCGCCACACCGCAATAATTCTCCGATTATCTTTATCTTTCACCACTCTTTCTTTCACCACTCAAAGCAATCCCTCCTTCTCAATAAGACCAGCCCTTCATAAAACTCATCAATTTCTACATCTATTCTTCTTTTTTCTCATCTCTGGCATCATTCAATGTGTCACTCTTGCCAGCCCGATCCTCCTCAAAGCTCTCTAGAGCTCTGGGATGGATGGTTTTTGCGCAGTCGTTTTCATCGTTTATTGCCGGTAGTGGTTGAGGAGAGCATGCCGCCACCTCCGTCGTCAAACGAGAGAACAAAGCAGTATTGTTTGTGCTCGCCGACCCACCATCCTCGATCATTTCGATGTCGTTATCATCTGGTTCACTATCAGTGGACTGCTGCAAGGGCGTGCAAGATTATTGAGTGAGGGAAGTCTCCAAATGGTGAGGTAGCTATTCTGTATTGGAAATTTAGGGCTTACTATGATCCAGAATATATATGCTTAATACTAATACAATATTTTCTATTAAAAGTGTATTTAATTATCTTAAGCTGTTCTCCGCCAATGAATTTCTAATTCGGCATCAGAATTATGAATGTTTTGCATGAATTGGTTTGGCTTTGCATTTGCCATCTTGCAGTTTTTCGCGGTGCATGTATTTTATCTTTATGGGTCTTGTAAAGAATAATGTTAGTTGATGCGCTGTGCAGGTTCGCTGTTCTTATTCGAATGAATTTTTTTGCCATGGTGATTTCAATGATGCCAAAATTTATTGAAATTCTGTTGTTCATAAGACTAACACGAGTAAATTTTTGTGCTGTATTGTTTTATTTATTTTGAGTCTGAATTAATTAATTAAATAAATAATATAATATTTTTTATTGATTTTTTTTTTGCTGCATTTAATAAAATTAATTTTCTTTATAAACCATTCGGGCTAATTTTAAGCCTAATAAGAGCTGAAATGAACTAACAAATTTGAAGTTAGCCGGACACAAAAAATACATGGAATTCGCTCAATCTCGGCTCGCTTGTACCCCTAGCCCTATCCCTTCATGAAATGTGACCATCTTAGGGCTTATTGCACGCATTTAGGGATGTCGATCAGAGTAACCATTGCTCCTCCAGTGGCCAGTGGTGGTGTTCCATCATCCTGAAATACTTTCACATTTTGCCCAGTTTGCTCGCTTTTATAAGCAATTCTTCGAGTCCTCTGGCATGTGCATTATAGAAACCATTCTTCTTTGTAAGATGAAATATTCTGAGACAAAATAGTGATATGACTTTAGGCTTTTTGATTGATCATATATATATATAAATTGATCCAGTAAATTTGACTGAGAATCAAGATCTATCAAGTCCAGCATGGCTGTTTGGTTGAGAGCCTTGAAAAGAATATAATCCTGAATAAGATATAGAATATCTCTCTCAAAATCTATAAATAGTTCCAGTATTTTTGTTTTAGAGTGAATTTCTTGATCGCACAGAACTTTAATGTTTTCACTGCTGCTTGAAATCTCCGCTTTATCATTTAGTGTTCTTGCAATTCCAACTCGGTGTTCTTAGATTCCGTATACTACTGTTCTTATTTAATCCTTTTTTATCTTCTAATGGCGTTTCAATATTCAATTTACGAGCACAGCTCACTCTCTAAATTAAAATGGATGAGTACGCAATTAGAGTATTTGAAATAGCTCTATTCCCCCCCCCCCCCCGCATAACAGCATTTTCCACACAACCTCTTTAAAGGATACGACAACATTTCTTCTAAATCATAGATTCATTCTAGTAGAGAATGCAGATTAATTACCCTCAAAATAAGATTTTAACGAACTTTGTCATTAGCAAAGCCGTTTTGCTGATGTCTTTTTATTCAAAATTTATCTTAAAAAATATTTGATAATGTGAAATGCAGTATAAACAATAAATTATATAATATATTCATTGAACAATTTTGCTCATGTAGGGTGTGTTTGGGGCAGCTTTTTAGTTGCGGCACGAGAAAGAGTTTTGTGGCGGCTTCTGGGAATAGGTTGATGTAAACTTAGGCCACGAGTTGGACCCCACAGCCCGAGTTTTGTTCGCGTGAATGTCTCTGTGTGGCCTTGGTTTTATTCACTAGCCCTTAGTTTTGTTCATTGTTGTGCCCTTGCTGCTGTTGTTGTGCCTCGCAAAATCCATGCCCTAGCTCCCTTGGCCTCTCCCTCCCTAAACCTAATCGGCAGTTTTGGTGGCATCTCTCATCTTCTTCCTTGCTCCCTTCTCTCTAGTCTCTGGTTCCGGTGATACTCTCCTACATCGTCTTATGGTATCATCTATTCGATACAATTAACATTGATATTGTCGGTTCTAGTTTGAGGTTTGTCCTGTGTGACTTGCTCTTTGAGATTTCTTGCTTTGCTCTATTTGTAGTTTCTGGCATTCTTTTCATTGTTCGTGTGACCTTTGCTCTATGGTAAGTGTTGGGATTTTTGGCATTATCTGTGTGACATGTGATCTATGCTATATGTTAGATTGGTGTATGAATTGAGAGCATATTTGATTTTTGGCATTGCCTTTACCTCTCGATTTTTGATCCATGTGGTTAGTGGTTCGATTTTTACAAATTGTTGGCCTCTGGAAAGAAAATACGAGGTTGGCTTTTGTGAAATCTAAAATAATTGCTAGACATAGGACTGCACAATTTGAGGTAGCCCCTTGTGTATTTATATTTATAACAACTAAGCTTTACTTTTTAATATTTATACCACCCAAATCTTTAAATTATATTAAAAATATTATTATTTTAATTTTGTTAAAAAGTAAAATACATCCTATATAATATATCACATATATTAATTTTTCTAAATATTATCATTTTTTAGTTGTAGTTAGAAAATATGGATTTGAACTCAACAATTTTATTGAAATTTCTTAAAAGTTGATTTTTTCAAGCTCGAAATCATCACTATTTAAAATATGTTATTTGTATGACATTAAATGAGACCTAAGACAACTATTACAACTCATTGTATATTCATTCGCACATTCAAATTGTTTATACATAATTTTAAATAATTAGCTTGTTGCAATATGAAATAAAAACATTTTTAATTTCATCAACAGTATGTTGTCACTAAAAAAATTATTATAATTATAAAAATTATTAATAAAATTATATTAATGTTCTTTGAAGAAGAAGTAAAAAATTAATAATGTTTTTAATTATTTTATATTTTTTTAAATAGCATAACTAAACAAATCTCATTATGTTGATTACGTTTAAATAAACATAATTATTTGATCTCTAAAAAAAACATAATTTCAAAGCCCCTGCGGAGGGCGCACGCAGAGCTGCGCGCGCCCTCCGATCACAGCCGCACATCGCGGCTGTATGACAGTGGGACTTTGCTTCTCGTGAAACAGAAGTATTTCAGCTTCAAAAACTTTTAACACCTTAAACCCCAACTTCAATTTTTTTTAAAACTACTTAAACCTCTCTTAAATTAATTTGGGACTAATTTGAAACTTTTTAAAAGTCAGGGACAAAAATGACCTCTTTAAATAGTTGAATGACCATTTAAACACAATATATATATATATATATATAATTCAACCTTCATGGTAATGCTTTCCACATTTCCTTCCTCTTCCAATGCCCAAAATTTACTCTAAAATGTGGAGAAAAAAATAGACCATGATAGACAACAAAGCCATTTTATTATATAAATTTAATACTTTATATTTAATTTAAATCATAAATATACTTAGTTATTTCGGAATTTGAATGAGACTGATCTAATTCAGTCAGGCCAACCAAGTGTTCTCTGTAGCATTTCATTTTCTTAAATTTAATGCACGAAGAAAATAAAAAAAAAATAGGTTCTGATGAGAAATGTTACCGTAGGAGTAAATACTAAGGAAAGCTAAATTATTTCAATGGATAAGAAAAATGGGTTTGAATCGGTTGACTCTGAAAGATACAATCTAAAAATGCATTAATGATTAACTAATTATAAGTGATCTAACTCTTTGCATATACATCCAATCTAATTAATTTTTACGATATTAATCATTTTGAATATATTTTTACTTAATTTTAATTATATAAAATTTGAAAATATTACGAGTTATATCACTTTATACTCACATTATTATTTTTATTCACATTATATATTTAATCTATTATTTTGGATTAAATATAATAAGTAATTTATTTCAGTAGATGTTAAGGTTGGAGCCAGTCAGATTAATGACCTCATGTGGGTGACATCGTTCGAAATTATAATATTTCTTCTTTAAAATATTTTAAGTTATTTAAGCATTGGGTGGTATGTTCGTAAATATGCGTGTGTCAAATGCATGAGAGGACAAAGAACTCAGAGATCTGCAAAAACAAGACATGAGGCAAAATGAATGAGATGATGAATATGATTAAGACCAATGTTTTACTCGTAAATATGTATATATCATGCATTTCTAATGATGAGAACAATGACCGTTGGGCGTGCACCAATGAACTATGTCATTAGATATATTTAAATTTTTAGTTCAGCAGCTCTATTCGATAGAGATGAACACCGCCTAGTTCAACATTACTCCTATTCTCCGACCAGAATCAGTAATCAGTTAGACCAATTTTTGGAACTTGTGTTTTTTGATCTTATCCCTAAAGAAAACTGAAAAACAAGCGCAGCTAAACACTATATTTAAGGAACCTTTGTATTCCCTTTCATTCTGGAATTTAGATTTTTGACTTGATATAGTGAAGAGAATGAGGGAGATGAGTTGCAGATACACTCTTCTGTTCTACATTCTTCTCATCATCTCAAACATTCCTCATGGCCTGCAGAAGAAAGTGACAGTCTCCATCCAGTCGGTGACAACTATAGCCAAGACTGATTATAACTTTATCTGTGCGACTTTGGACTGGTGGCCACCGGAGAAATGCAACTACAATATGTGCCCATGGGGAAATTCTTCCATTCTTAACCTGGTATTTTAGTAGTAGAAATTCATTAGATGAAGGATCGGGTTGAAATAAGGAGCTTTTTGAGCTAAGAGACAGAGACAATGAATAAAGAATGGTCTTTTTTTGGTGTTTAGAGAATAATCAACTTTTATTATAATGGTCGCCCTTATTTACAGGAGGATTTGTTTATACATTACAAAATAGTGTATTTATTATACACAAATCTCAAGAGAAATCCTATATATATATCTCTCTTCTCTTCTTTTGGTGGAAATCTTAATTAACATTATCTTGATAACTGTTCCTCTAAATGGGATAGTGAACCGAACCTCCTAGGAGAGCTATCTCCTTAGAGAGATTCCTGAACAAGTTCATCTATCGGGAGAGTTCATTTTCTAAGAGGGTTTATCTTTTGGGAGTTATTATACCGGATGAGCTCATCTCTTGGATGGGTTAATCAATTGGAATAGTTATTCTACCAGCGACTTTTATCTCGTGTAAGTGTTTATATTCTGGATGAATTCATCTCATAGGAGAGTTTTTCTCCTAGACAAGTTAACTAGATGAACACCTTGAACCTAATCTAAGAGCTTTCAACCACACGTACAAATAACAACAACAATAACAACAACAACAACAACAAGCATTTGTCCCACTAAGTAGGGTCAACTACATGAATCTTTTTTCTCCATTGCGTCCTATTGAGTGTCATATTTTCATTCAATTCTAATAAATTAAGATCATGTTTTACACAACACGCCCAAGTCTTTTTAGATCTACCTCTACCTTTTTAATATAAATTAAATATAAAACATCTACTCTCCTAACTGAATCATCAGATGATCGATGTTTAATGTTACCAAATTATCTAAGACGTCTCTCTCTAATCTTGTCTACCACTAAAGTTATATTAATCATTTCACGGATATATTCATTTCACATTTTGTCTCTAAGAGTCAAGTCACTCGTCCACTTAAGCATTCTCATCCCAACAATATTTAAATTAATTTTATGCTTCACTTTTCTAAGCAAACATTTCGGGCCATAAAGCACTACAGGTTTCATCATTATCTTATAAAATTTCCTTCAAGTATAAGCGGTACCTTCCTATCGCACAATAGACCCGATACATTCCTCCACCTCAACCATCCAACTTGACTTCTACTAATAACATTCCAATCTAAATCACCATCAGTTTGAACAATAGACGGTGATATCTATAATGTTCACTCCTTTTAAGGGTTTGATCACCCATTGTTACAACTCTACACTAAATCTACTAATAACAATGCTAGAAAGTGTCCATCAACGAAAAAAATTGGGCTTGGAAGAAGCAGACTATACTTTTACCATGGGCTTCGAAAACTCATGCCTTGGCCTCTTTCAATGAGAGTATTTGAAAATTTTTTACCTTCCACATCAAATTTTTACAAAGCACATTAAATTTACGATAAGATATAACACAACAATTTCACTATTACTTTGTGAGGATTTTTTGATATAGTTCAAGGTTTCCTATAGATCAAGCTTCTATGATTGATTACCTCTCCCAATAACAAAAGTGATATTCCGACAAATGCTAGTCGTGCGAGGGTTGATTGCTGAGTATGTAGCAGCAACAATTTAGTCATAGATTAGGACAATTTACTCTCCTTACCTTAGGGTGGATGGTAAAGAAAATGACAACTAACTCGATCAATCTATCATATGTCTATTATCTCGAGTTGTCATAAGATATGATCTATTTAGTCAAAAATAGTCGTAGATCTAACACGACTAAGGGATTTTTATGGGTTGCATCATCCAAAAAGATCTTGCAAACATGAGGTGAATATTTATTTATTGGGACAAGCTTCAATCAACCGTAATTAACATTTACAATTCAGAAACTCAAGCCCATAACTGAAGGCTAATCACTAGAATTTATACCAATGGTATAAAAACTGTATTTTAAATTTAGCGAAGCATAGTTTAACAATTGGTTCACATGTTTTTGGCCGCAGGACTTGAATAATACTATTCTGAACAATGCAATTAAAGGTATATCTACGAAATTTCATGGGGTTTAACTTCATTTCTGCATGCATTTCAGTAAAAATGGTGAATTACTGATATTCGTTTCAAATTAAATGCAGCTTTCAGTTCCTTAAGGATTAGGCTGGGCGGCTCTCTTCAAGATCAAGTCACGTACAAAGTTGGGAAAAATTCACCCCCATGCAACAGATTTATAAAATTGAAAAAACCTGAAGAAGGGCTCTTCGGTTTCTCTACCGGATGTCTTGACATACCCAGATGGGACGAACTCAATGTAATACTTAGCAGAGCAGGGTAATGAGCTTATCTCAGCTTCTTGAATGCTTTATAAAAAACTAATATATCAAGATTCTGAACATTATATTTCATGTACAGCTTTATGATTTTAATACACAAGTAAAACAGGGGAAAAATGCTATTTCTTTTTCAATTATTGATATGTTTAATGTCATAACATTTATAGAGTTTGTGATCCAAATTTTACTGTGGTCTGACCGAAAAGTTCACCTTGTGTGTGCTTGAGGGTGCGCGTGTGTTAATTAGGGCTTTGTACACACCAATATATATGAAAATTTGCACAAGGGTTAAGCATGTTAGGAGAGCCGTCACACTCCACTTGTAACCTTCTTTTATTTTCATATAAGGATTATTTCTTCTCTGCGTGTAGTTTTTCCTGGCAAGTTTTTTGTCCATGAATTTTGGTGTTTCTTAATTTGTCTCTGTGATTCGTCTCTTCTTAATTATTTTGTAAAACATCCAAAGTATAAGTAAATACCAAACATAGCCTGAATTATTTCTTCTTCTAGCATTTTATATCTGAAAAAAACTTTTGCGATAACATGAATTTGGCACCATCCAATATCAAATTGTGACTCTTTATTGTTTTATGATGGATAATTTGCAGAGCTGTGTTAACCTTTGGGCTCAATGCACTCTATGGGAGAAGAAAAACTACATCAAATGGCCTTTATAATGGCGATTGGAACTCCCAAAATGCTCGAGAACTCATTAATTACACCGTCTCAAAGAACTATATGATTGATTCCTGGGAATTTGGTATTCTTACAACTCACTATTGGATCATAACTTACCATTTTTTTTCTTCTCATCACCATTTGTTTTGTACATAATTAGGAAATGAGCTCTCAGGAAGTGGGATTGGTGCGAGGGTTGAAGCCGATCAATACGGAAAAGATTTGATTTCACTAAAGGCTCTCATTGATGAATTATACCAAAAATCTTCCTCCAAACCCAAGATTTTAGCTCCTGGAGGCTTCTATGACCAAGCCTGGTTTAACAAAATGCTTCAAACTTCAGGGCCTGATGTTGTTAATGGTGTGACACATCACATCTACAACCTTGGTGGAGGTTAGATAATGCAAATAATTGCTTTTAACTTGTTATATAGAATCTACAAAAAGTAATATTTAATATTTGGTTGCCTTTTTATAATCTAGGTGATGATAAAGGAATAATACAGAAGATCCTGGATCCGTACTATCTATATTATATAGTTCAAACTTTCAAGAATGTGGCTCTCACAATAAAAAATTTTGGGCCATGGAGCTCTTCCTGGGTTGGTGAAGCCGGAGGTGCATACAATAGTGGAGCCAAAGATGTTTCAAATACCTTTGTAAATAGCTTTTGGTGAGAAATTCCAGCCTTGAACCAAGCTTTTACTAAAAATTGACCATTATTCCTTTAATTAACTCGCTAATTAACTCAAGAAAAAATGTTATTTGAAAAGTTTAATGCTTGCATATGTTGTAAAATGCATGGCATAATTTGTTTTTGGGGCATTTACATACATGGCACACAATTCTTATGCATTTACATATGTCACAACTAAACTTTGCTTTTTTACATTTATTCTACCAAATTCTTTCACATTACATAAAAATACCACCATTTTAACTTCTAAAATGTGAAATACACTTTTCCATGCATAAGGTGGCATATAAGTAAAAATTGAAGTATAGGTGTTAAATATGTAAACGCATTAGAATTGAGTAAAATGTATGTAAATCTACCTAGTATGTAGTTTGTGATTACTACTATTTTGTAATTAATTTGGTGTTTTAATTAACTGCATTTAGGACCAAAATGTTGTTGTGGAGTTTGATTAAACAAGCCTTGCTCCCTAAGTATCTGATATCAGTTTATTTGTTGAATATTTTGGAGTAGGTACTTAGATCAGCTTGGTATAGCATCGGTGTTTGGCTCTAAGGTTTACTGCAGGCAAGCTCTGATAGGAGGGAACTATGCTCTCCTCAACACTACAACTTTTGAACCTAATCCTGATTATTATAGGTCAGTCTACTTTGCTTCTAAATAAATTCTTTATGTTCACTTGTAAAATGTGAATTTTGAGTTACACTCACATTTTGCAAAAAATTTGAGCACATATTAAGTTTTAGCCATGTTTGTTTTCCAAAGAACTACTAAAAACCCTTTTAGACATTTTTTTTTAATCCTTAGTTGTCCCTTAAAAATTGTAACAAATGTTTATGCGGCCAACAATCATCATATCTAATGATAAATATTTAGCTACATTTTATTTTAAAAGTAAAATAAAACGGCGCATGTACACAAAAATTTTCATATTTACATTCTCTAAAACTCAAAAGCTTTTATTGTCACATCAAAAACATAAACATTACTAACTTTTTAAAAGTTAAATGCACTCTTTCATTAATAGTTTTATGACACCAAAGTGCTATAAATATATACATGCAACTCTAAATTTAGACGTGTAAGTACATAGAAATAGTATATGTAAATATTCAATATATATATATACGCACACACGCGCGGGCGCACGCGCATACTTAGGCCATTACATAAATTATAGTAATGATAGAATACTTTGACCCAATTTTACTAATCTTAACTTCCTTTTTTTCTTTATCAGCGCTTTGCTGTGGAGCAAATTGATGGGACCAGAAGTTCTCCAAACCACTCATAACGGCTCACCATATCTTCGAGCATACACCCATTGCTCAAAGAACAAGGCAAGGATACCAACCCAATCAATAGACAATTTCCTTACAGCTTATTTACAAATCAAGCTTTTCTAATTTGGAAATTTACAAACATACCACTCGATTCTTATGCATTCATATCTGACAACTAAACTTTAATTTTTACATACACACGACCTTACCCATGCATGAAAAGGCATATTTCTCTTTATAAAAGTTAAAATCGTGGTATTTTTTTTATTTCATATGAAAGATTCGGGTGATGTACATGTAAGGAGTAAAATTTAGATGTTAGACCGGTAAATCCATAGGCATTTTGATAAGATTCAGAATTCCTTAATTATTGTATTAGATCAAGTAATGTAATTAGATTAAATAGTGTAATTAGTTACAAGATTGGAACTCCTGTATTCTATAAATAGCTCAACTTTGAGAAGGATGGAATGAAAATGCAGTTAGTTGTCTAGTTAGTTCTCTATTTTATGAGGGTTAAATCTTGCATATGTAAATTTCCCGTCTAATCAAATATTTATATAATATATTGTGCAGGCCGGTGTTACTCTGCTGTTGATCAATCTATCAAACTCCACAACATTTAAAATTTCAGTAGAAAATGATATGAACTTATATCCACCACAACAGAGGAAATTATCAGCGAGCGCAATGGTGGAGAAAGGCGAGAGAGAAGAGTACCGTTTGGTTCCAAAAGACGGGAAGCTTCAGAGCAGGGTAGTGCTTCTTAATGGGCAGCAGCTGCAGCTCACAGGGAGTAGAGATATTCCCGAAATCAATCCCTTTGTTCCAGGCCATCGTTCTAGGGCTAAGGTGCAGATCTCTCCTCTCACCATTGTTTTCGTTAGATTTAAGGACTTCCGTGCTCCGGCTTGCCCTATAAAGAATTAGGGCATCTAAGACCCCCTTTTTTTTAAGGGGGGCATCGAGACTTGATAGACAATGTATGATTATAACTAAATGAATTTGGTTTGTATTTATCATTCAAGATAATAACCGCTCAACTATATTGCCAATGTGTACCAGGGATACACTGAAACACTTTATGACGTGTACTAGGAGACTATTATACGAGCTCCGATCATTTCTCATTCGCCTAAAAATTTAACCATGCCATACACTCGTGGGGACGTGGGGATTCAAATCCTAGATCAAAGGTGAGTTACAACTGACAAATAGATGTTCAGTTAACTGATCTGAATACACGACACAAATATATATATATATATATATATATATATATATATATA